TTTTATATATATATATATATATATATATATAACTAACTGCAGACAGTACTGTTTCGGCCTTCTGGGCCTCATCAGTGCAGTGCTAATGCTAGGATGGGGGAGAACCGAGACGGTCACCCCCATATACAACAAACATGAGCAGAAAGAAAGGATCCATATGAAAGACTTGCAACACTAAAAGAACAAATGAGAGATGTATAGATTTGATAAGAATCAAAAAGAAAAGATAGCCTCAATTCGAATTGTTGGTAGACAAAGTGTAAGCTACAGTTAAAAGCTGAAACATGCCTCTACAGCTCTGGGATATTCTTGATATTTCATTGTATACTTATACATTATTTGGTTACTTTTGTACATTGAAGGATGGGTAACACAGCAGATGCTGGCTCTGACAACATCATGTTTCGATGTGCTAGGAGAGCTTCCAAGGATGAACTGTAACAACAAGTTTGGGCTTTCATCAGTCAAAATCATCATGAATAGATATGTTGTTATTATATGAAAGTTATAAATTTATAATTTAAGTAATAACTAAATTATTGATTGAAGCAGAATTGATCTTTACAAAAAACCAGAGACACAGCCTCTATTATGCTTTGTCGACCATTCTGGATATGGTAAACATGGTAATGTCAATAACTATGTCCATTTTGTATTTGTCAGAGTTGCCATAATCAATTCATCATAAAGTGGCCATGGTGAGGAATTTCAGGAAAAAAAACATAGCTAGACTATGACAACCATTATGGTTGCTCCTTTATTCCTCTACACTTTCCTCTCTGTGAATGTTGTAGACACAATACTATGTTTACTAAATGACTCCTTACAATTCAATGACAACAGATAAGGTATACATTATTAAATTGTTACCTTGTACAACAGTCACCATTAAAAATGAGAGTACTCACTGAATTTTAAACTGAATGTAAGTTGTACTAATGGTGAAGAGAAGTAATGTCCATGGTGTTTTGAAAAACAAGAACAGAAATAAGCAAAGTCTTTTCAACCAATTACTCACTTATTATTTTGAAATTAAATTTGAATGAGAACAGGCTCTTAAGTGACATTATTTACTGTCCATAAACACCAAAAGATGACCACAAATTATAAAATGTTCTTTAGTATTTGAACAGACATCAAAGTCATAGCTTACACACTAAACAACTCAGATATATCCTACAACAGGCCACTAATTTGCTTTTATTAGTAAAACAATTCAAAATTATAACATAACCAAAGTAAAGCGCACGCTCTGATTGATCAATTTAGCGTCCCCCATTTGCCCATGGGTGTACGCTGCTGACGTGAGCAAATGCAAAGACTATTTTTCCGCGCGCGCTTGTTTTTTTCTGGTCGCGTAAGATTTGTTAGATAAAAGGGAACTCTTTAGCAACAATGTATCAATGTTATGTTATAAAACAAATGGTAAACACCACAGCGTACACTATTGAGTTATGGATGCAC